TCAAAACCTAAGACAGAGGGGCTGGGGATGTGGCTCAAGCGGTAGCGCGCTCGCCTGGCATGCGTGCGGCCCGGGTTCGATCCTCAGCACCACATACAAACAAAGATGTTGTGTCCGCCGAGAAATAAAAAAAATAAATAAATAAAATATTAAAATTTAAAAAAAAAAAAAAACCTAAGACAGAAAACAATAGCATAAGAATTAATTTTAATAGATTTAAACCACCCAATCCAGAATTTTATCCCAATGTACTGACTTAAACATGAAGTTGTGGGGCTAGGATTGTGGCTCAGCTGTAGAGCGCTCGTCTAGCACGGGTGGAACCTGGGTTCGATCCTCAGCACCACATAAAAATAAAGGCAATGTGTTGTGTCCATCTACACCTAGAAAAATATACATTAAAACAAACAAACAAACAAAAAAACCATGGAGTTGTGATTTAGGACAGAAGTACCTGAAAACCTTTAGAAGGACTAATCCTGTACCAATTCCCCTAAGAGGAAAGAAAAATTCCCAAAACTACAGATTGGAAAGCTTATCAGTCTCTGAAATTTAAAAGAAAGTCACTTATTAGATAAATCTATGATTCTTTAAGAAACTAAGTCTTTCTCAAAGGAAATGACATGAAAGAAGAAAGTCACACTAACCTCATTTCTTTTTTTTAAACAGGTTTACTAGGTCAAGAAATTCAAAGAATATAAAAGACCGTGTTCCATCTTGAGTTCATTAAGGCATATAATCCAGTTCTTCCTGACAATAAAATGAAATGTGGGCCTGACGATAACAAAGAAAGACTTATAATTAGCCCATTTATGATTCAAGGCATGATACAGGAATATACTATTCAACATTCTCTGATAACTAGATGAGAAGCAGAAGCCAAACATATTACGGTGAAGAGGACACACAGGAGTAGCTAAAAAGGTGAAATTAGAGTTAAAATGAAAATTAATAGCCTAAAAATGGAAGCTTGAAATCAACAAGATGTAATTTAACAGGAATAAATTAAAAAATAATTTTTAAAGTGTCTCATGCACAATATGAGAAAGATTATTTGCTTGGAAAATTTCTAAGTGAAGACCTGAGTGCTTGGATCACAAGACAAGTACAATACTATGAATTAGCTGGACGGAGATGAAAGGTAGCAATAATTCTGCCACCTTCCATGTACCCAACCACACCTGCAATCTGTATCTCATCTATCCGACAAGATGTTAGGGAAGACATTTAGAAGCTGAAAAAAGTAGGAAAGGAAGACCAGAAAGCCATGCCACATAAAGGAAGTCCAGGGAAGAGGCAGTAAGCTTTCCATCACCTGAAGGGTTATTATGTGAAGGAAGAAAGGACTTAACAGTGTTGTTCTAAGAGTCACACAGCAACCCTCAAGACAAAATTTCCTAGAAAGCAATGCTCAACATGAGGAAGTGTTCAAAGAGAGAGCTGTCTGCCTCATTACTTGATATTCAGGCAGAGGCCAAAGGACCATTAGGAACTTTGCCAAAAAGCCTGCAGTGGCCAGCAAGAGGTTGGTCTAGATGACCTCTAAGGTCCTTCCAATCTTCCAACCATGAGAACTTTGATCTTGGAGATAGGGAGACCAAAGCTGTTCAACACCTAGCCATTCAAAAGTAGCAAGTCACTTTTTTTTTTGCAGGGGGTGGAAAGTGGGGGAGTACTGAGGATTGAACCCAGGGGCACTTAACCACTAAACCATATCCCCATATCCTCAGCCCCTTTTAGTTTCTATTTAGAGACAGGGTCTTGCTAAGTTGCTTAGGACCTCACTAAGTTACTAAGGCCAGCCTCAAACTTGCGATCCTCCTGCTTCAGCTTCCTAAGTCACTGGGATTATAGGCATGTGTCACCACATTCCGCTAACAAGTCATTTTTGAGGCAGAATAGTCCCAATTGCATCCCTGAAGCTGGCAGAGTGATTAGGACTACATGCTTCTATTAGATCAGCTTTCAGTCCCAGCCTTGCTACTTACCTAGCTGTGGGACTTTGGGCAAGCTTCTCAACCTCATAGCACCTTAGTTTTCTCATAAGTAAAATGGAAATGATAAATACCTTCCCCTCACAGGACTCCTAAAAGTAAGTTATCCACATATTAGAGTAAATGGAACACAGTAAGCATTTAACAAACAGTATCTTTTATTATTTTTGTTAACACTAATAAGAAATAATTTTGATGCCTAATATGGCTACAGAGGAGTCAGGATACTTAACCAACTTCCCCACTCTCCCAAGAGGCTGGGTTACTTAAATGACTGCTTAGAAGAGAGAGAATGCCAGATAATGATGATAACTAACATTTACTGAATACCTACTATTTGCCAGGTACTCTCTAAAAACTATAACATTTTATTAGAGCCTCCTAACAACTCTGTTTAAACTCCTAGTGTCTGCCTTTTCAGATGAGGAAACTGAGGTTCCTAAAGGATAAATAACTTCTCCAAAGCCACAGAGCTAAAAAGTGACAGGTTAGGATCTGAATTCAGGCAGTTGGGCTGAAAGCCTCTACTCAAAACCACAAAACCAAAGATTATCAATCCTGGCTGCACACTGAAACTATTCAGGGAAATACCTATCTTCAAGACTTATCTAACTCCACTCACTCACAATTCTAACTTAAATCAATTTGGCACTGGCAGCAAGATTCCTCAGAATTCAGGAACACTGTCTTAGGTCATTCGGCCTAAGACACATTTTTAGCATTGTGTCCAAAATGAAGAACTTTCCCCAGATGATATCCCAGACAGGCCTGTTGCCTTTTTTATAAGTATCTTCAGAATCATGAGATCAGGACTGCTTTTCAAAAAAAAAAAAAAAAAAAAAACTTTTAGTTAAAATTATGCAAAAGAGATCCTATTAAGATAGGTATCCTACTCCCATTTTACAGACAAGGAAACTGAGACTAAAAAGGTTCAATAACTTGCCTATCACAAAGGAACCAAGACCAGATTCCAGGAGGGTTTGCCATCCTAAAGAGCTCCATCAGAAGCGGGGAAAAAAACTCCATGTGATCAGGGATGTTTTGTGGAAGAAGTAACATCTGAATCAGATGAGGCATGGGGAAAGGAAGGGCAAATGAACAGACTAAAAGGCATGGATAATATCAGAGACTGGAGCTAGACACCAACAGGTGTAGTGATGCTATCGGCTGCCTGATAAGAAAGGACTCAAAAGTCTTGCAGGGTTCCACAGTGCATGCCTGTAATCCCAGCGGTTGCGGAGGCTGAGGCAGGAGGATCGCAAGTTCAAAGCCAGCCTCAGCAAAAGCAAGATGCTAAGCAACTCAGTGAGACCCTGTCTCTAAATAAAATACAAAATAGGGCTGGGGATGTGGCTCAGTGGTTGAATACTCCTGAGTTCAATCCCCGGTTCAAAAAAAAAAAGTCTGCTCAACCAGGATTGTGCAGGTACAGGAATGCCAAACTGCATAGCTGTCATGGAACTTCATAGGACTTTTCCTGAAACAGAAATCCACTCAAACAGATCCTGGAATAGCAGCCTGCAAGGAAAGCAAGGTCATATCCCTAATATGAACTCATGATGTGGGAAAAAGAGTAAAGCTGCTCCCAGAATTGAGCTTCTCTGACCACCCAGTCAGATAAACCTGGTTTGGAATCCTGACTCTACTTTTTTTGTTTGTGTGATGCTGGGGATTGAACCCAGGGCTTTGTGCATGCGAGGCAAGCACTCTACCAACTGAGCTATATTCCCAGTTCCTGACTCTACTTTTATTAACTGCATAATCCTGGGCAATTTATTAAACTTTATTAGAGCTTCTTTCCTCCATTATAAAACAGTGAAAAAGATATATATCTCCTTGCTAGTACGGTGGCACACACCTGTAATCCTAGCAACTCAGGAGGCTGAGGCAGAAAGAATGCAAGTTCAAGGCCAATCTGCAACTTAGTGGCCCTAAGCAACTTAGCAAGACCCTATCTCAAAATAAAAAATCAAAAGGGTTGGGGATATATCTCAGTATGGTAAAGTGTTCCTGGGTTCAATCCCCAGCAACAAAATATAAAATAAGATATTCCTCATAGGGTTGCTATGAGAAACAAATAAAAAATAAATATGTAAATAATAAATATGGTAAGAAAGCTAAGCTCCCAAAAAAGAATAGTATTTATTCTTTCATTCATTCATTTACTGGGCTTTTGCTTTTATTAATAACATAAGGCTGAAGAAACTTACACAGCACAGCACAAACCTTCAATAGGCATCCAGAGGGCTGCCTTCTGAGCCCTTCGTAAACACAAATTTGCAACTCAACAGAGGGAGACCTTTTGCATTCACGATTTTATATTAGAGTAGAATAATAAATAAGGATGTAGACTCACTTAAAAGGAATAATTTTCCCTTTTATTTATAAATTACTTTGTAAGACTGGGCAGATTACCATACATGATAAGTCAAGGTGAGTTCTGGGGAGCAAAATACCCCAATAAAACACAAAAATAAAATGAAATAATGAGTTCAACTATAGGAACAGGTTTAAAATCCAGGGCAGGATTAGTTTTGCTCTGACAACAGGATATTAATGTGTGGTTTGTATTTTCTACATATTTATTATCAATGAAAGTATTAACAGCTTTCTCCCACCAGTCCCCACATTGCTCCAATTCCAGAAAAAGGTCCCACTGTGATACTTTTCCACTACATTTAAAAGCAACCTCTATGATAAAAGCAGAAAATGAGCAATGGTCCATAGAAACATAGGTTCTCATCTCATCTCTGCATTTAACTATTCTTTCTCTGGGCCGCTTTAAGGAAGATAATCTTTTTCCACCTCTAACATCTGAGACATGGTTGACAGCATCTCAATTTTTAACAGGTAATCTTAGAATGGGAGACTTCACAAGTTCCTTCTGTTGGGAGTACTGGGGTGAGAAAAGGACATACAAGACAAAGCCAAAAGCATGAGGCAATGTCAGGGAAAAGCCACTCTCTAGAAGAATGTGAAAAAAATTGCCCCCAAAACACCCTGTACCTTTTTTCATCATGTCTCGGTCCAAGGCTACATTTCTTTGGGCAAGATTTACTTCTGATCGGAAATGAAAGCGCTTAGCTCGCTGTTCTTTCTTTTCAATGGCTTCCTAGAAAGTCCAGAAAAAAAAAATCAAAGAGGTAAAGCATAGAAACAGAAAGTTAAATCACAAATACATGATGCATCAATGACAACTCTAAAATAAATCAGAAGAAATAAGCAACACTGCACATTGAATGAGTTTTGCAAAAATCAGACATTCGCATTTAGAGGGTATAAAGTAATACTGTTATAATTTATAATCACCTCCATCCTAACACAGTTGATTACTATGCCTGGGACATAGCAGGAATTCAATGACTATATGTTTTTGAAGTTTCATCTATTATTGGCAATCACTCCAACAAATTACAATTAAACAATCTGAACGTTTCAATTTTCCAGCTGCAGAAACTGAGGCATAAATGAGTAAAAAAAAAAAAAAAAAAATTGCTGGATGTACTTTTCCTAGCTAAGGGGGCAGATCTTCTAAATTCAATGCTATTTTTAAGAGCACTCCCTGCCACCACTTCACATTTTATGTGGGCACAGTAATCACACCTATCACCCTCTTTCACATTATGTTTGCCTGAAAAGTCCACTCCCTAAAGCTAGTTTCCTGTTTAAAAATAACACTGAAGCAAAGAAACCCCTCTATTCCATCCTTAAGTCCACAGAATTGCTTGTTTTCATTTTTAAGTGACAATAAGCACTGATGCTTTACTGAAAAAATAATCAGCTTTGTAAGTGTCTTAAAAGAGCTAAAACAATCCAGGTCCAACTGTGGCTGGCTCTTGGGAACCCTTCATTAATTGTATATTGACTTTGTCACACTAATTGAAGGTCTGACTATAGAAAGCTTATGAGGATTGGTAAAGCAGCAACACTTCTGTTATTTCCCAATAGTTATGCTAATTCTTTTCACTAAAGTCTTCCTATTACAAACAACAATCTACTTTCCTTTAGTAACAATTTAGATACTAACTCTGGGACTTCTACTCTTTCCCCATATACCTGTTTCATATAATGGCAAATGATGTAGAATTAAGAACAGTCTGCTTCTTTCTCAAGCATAGTAAGAAAACACTTTCACTTTATGTATTATTATTTGGGGTGGGGGGGTGCTAGAAATTGAACCCAGAGCCTTGTATTAGGCACGCACTCTACCACTTAATTATTTTTGTTTTGGGGTTTTTTTGGGTTTTTTTTTAGTTCTGGGGATTGAACTCAGGGGCATCAATCACTGAACCACATTACCAGTCTTTTTTTTTTTTTTTGTATTTTATTTAGAGATAGGGTCTCAGTGAGTTACTTAGTGCTTCACTTTTGCAGAAGCCGGCTTTGAACTCAAGATCCTCCTGCCTCAGCCTCCCGAGCTGCTGGGATTACAGGTGTATACCACCGTGCCCCGCTCTACCACTTAGTTTTAATCCAAGCCCTTCACTTCGTTCTATTTTCTTGTCTGTCCAGAAAATGATTAGTTCTTTCTTTTGGTCTTTAAGTAATCTGAGACAGAAAGACGCTAGAATAGCCTGAGGTTATACAGGAAAGAAGATACAAAATCAGGACTCAGAACAAAACCTGACAAGGGGCACCCTCTGGAAGCCTAAGCATGCCCTCTTTCTCAATTAGGGTCTTATTACAAACATCTGTGGTAAATCTTTGCTCTCAAGTATTGAGAATAATTTAGTTGATTTAATCTTCAAAGTTTAGACAGGTACACAATTAGGAAACTATTTTTCTAAGTTTGCAACCAGTGAGGAATAAAAACATTTACTACGGGCCTATTATGTGCTAGGTGCTCACAGGTCTCTGATGGGTGGAGCCCTCAGGAAACAAAACACATTTTATCAGAATGGACATAGCATCAAAAATAGTGCGTGTCCACCCTCACAAAAAAATATAAATAAGTAAATAAATCCCAGTGCAGCACTCTTTCTTGGAAATGATTAAGCACAGAAATCTAGATACAGTGATTTCATCTTTTTGTGGATGCAAGAATACACAAATGCTGCCTGAATGTTTCAGGATTCATGAAGACACCATTGCATGACAAGAAATTTAAAAATTTAATCCAGCAACAAATGAAAAAAGGGGATAAGAATATTTACTGTTCTACAAAAGTCCTAGGGACCAAGTTCATTAAATTTACTCACTTGTCAAACTGAATAAATAAATCATGGTCTGTCTCACCTTGGAGGTAACATCAATTCCGGTGATGAAGCTGCCAGCCTTATTTTCATATCTTCTGCTTGTGTCCTAACACAAAGAGGAAGGGTGAGAAATTCTGATAGCAATGGAGGAAAAATCCATGATAAAAGGCAGCCTAACAACTGCTTCTTTTTGAAAAGTCATTCTTTTCAGCAACCTTTCCCTAAACCCTGACAACCCCTTATTAAGAAGACAATCCCCTGACTCCACAGTAGTAATCAACCACTCTTAATAAGAAGTATTTTCTAGATCAGAGCCTGTTCAAAATCTCAAGTACCTTTATCAATTGAAAGTACATATGTAAATGAAAATCTAAAGGCTTTTGTGAAAAGTGTTAAAGATGAGGCAGAGTCACTAATCTCCTCACCCCAGACAGGACAGATTTCCCACATTAGGCCACCAGGTGGAGCACAAACCTCCACCAAAATGTAGAAAGCCCAACCTTCACTTAAAACTCCTGGGAAAACACACAGTGCAATGAAAGGATGGGGTAAGTCTCAAGGGTGACTTTCACTAATTACATTATATCGTACAACTTTGACTTCTCTAGGCCTTTTCCGTGATATATGCCTATCTCCTAACCTTTTTTTCTGTTCTCCCCTTTGTGCTATAGAACTTAACATTTCCCCAAGAAAGCAATCTTGTTCCTATCTCAGACCCTTTGTGTTTGCTGTTGCCCCTGTTAGGAATGTTCACTTCCACTGTGCACATAATTGGCCCCTTTTTGTCATGTAGGGTTCAGCTTAACTGTCACTGTCTCAGTGGACTTCCCTGACCATCTTATCACATTCTGCTTTATGTTCTGCACACCCCCCTGGCCCCTGTACTATTTCATTAGCATATTTTTTTCCTCAAAGCATTAACACTAGTGGAAATCATTTATTTGCTTGTGTCCCTACTAGAACACAAACTCTAGGAGGAAATCTGATCTTGATCTAGCACATAGGACTATGCCTGGCACATGGTGGGGGCTGCATAAAATGAATGAAGGGATGATACTACCTATCCAACAACTGCAGTTATTTTTAAATGACATAATGTAGTAACTGTCAAATATCATTATGTTGTTACCATGGTTGTTATTGTTGTCCATCACTAGCTATCCTACCTTAGCCTTTTTCCATAACTCACATAACTTCAGTTTAAAAGCAAGACTTGCTGACATGCAGGGTTTTTGTTTTGTTTTTTCAAATAGTTCATATTATGTGTGCAATTAAGTCATCTAGACTTGAGACCAGATCTAAGAACCAGACATATGACTACAAAACCACAAGCAAAACACCACTCACCATCCCCGCTGTGGTAAAAGAGACCAAGGACAAATGCTGGTCCCTGATCATTTGATTTCATTGCAAGTGAGATGCTGGGGCGACGGTGGAGGTGCTACAAGGCAGTGGAGGTGCTCGGGGGCAAGACGACCCTCAAGTCACAACAGCAACATACTGTTTGCTGCTGACAAGCACAGTCCTCGCAAGAGAAAGAGCGAGTGCCATGTTTAACAGACACCAATTCTACCAGAGCGGGACCCACAGGGAGATCTGGATGCCGGCGCCACCTCACAGTTCCCTCTGGGTCGCTCCGGTTGGGTTCCCGCCCGGGACTCCCCTTTAATGTGGACCCCAGTCTCTCCTCACTCACTCCCCCGCACAGTCTGGCTCCGAGGGGCAGCAAAGGGTGCGTCCTCAACTCTCTCTCGGCTCTCCCCCACCTCCTCCAGTCCTCTCAACACCCATTTCCGGGCGCCCCGGCGTCCTTTCTCTTGCTCGGGGGTCTCTCCTCACGCCTGGCCCCCCGCCCGCCGGCGCTCGCGCCTCTCTCCTCCTCCCCTGACTTCCCCCGGCCGGCGCGCTGGCCGCCTCCCCTTCCGGCCCTCTCCGGCGCGGGGCACTAGCTCCGCGACCTCCTCCTCGCCCCCCACCCCCCGCCCGTACCGGGATCAGTTCCTTCAGGGAGCGCCGCACCGGCACGATCTCCAGCTCGCCCTCCTCCACCTCCATGGGCTCCGGCTCGCCGCGTTCCAAACCGGACTCCGCCTCAGGCGACGGGAGCCCCAAGGCCGGCCCCGCCGGGGCCTCTGCCTTCACAGACACTCGCAGGCCGCGTACGGCCGCCATAGCTGCCTGCCGGCCGCACCACTGACAACCCGCCCCGCACACCCGCCGACTAGAGCGCCGCCGCCACTGGCCACAGAGGAGTGTGGTCGTCACCTAGAGCGTCGCCTGCTTCTGCCAGAAAGCGGCCCTTAGCGCCGCCGCCCCCCGGTGGCGGGAGGGAACCGGGCCGGCTTGGGGTGGGACCCAGCGAGGTGAAGGCGGGACCGAGTAAGGGCGGGGGCGGGGCTTGGAGGAGACGTCTGAAGTTACCGATGTTGCACACCGAGGACTAAACGTGCCCTAAAAGCTAACTGCAAATGGATCACAGGGTGCCAGACGCTTCCAAGTGCTCGAACCCTTACAACAATCCTAGGTATTAAGTCTTATTTTTACTTTCATTTTCCTTGTGAGGAAACTGAGGCAGAAATTTACCCAAGATGCAGGCTCTTTAAGAGACAAAGCCTGGATCCCACCCTAGTCTGGCACCAAGAGCCCAGAATGAGCCCTGTTCTATCACCTCTTAGTAGACTGTAGGTTTACAAAGTTAACTACCATGTAAACCCTTGTCTCTTTCCTCCATTTCATGTATTAAGAAATTGAACGATGGGTGTGGTGGCGCCGGACTGTAACCCTAGCGAGTCCAGAGGCTGAGGCAGGAGGATCAAGAGTTCAAAGCCAACCTCAGCAACTTAGCCAGGCCCTAGGTAACTTAGTGAGACTCTGTCTCAAAATAAAATATAAAAAGGGCTAGGGGTGTAGCTCAGTGGTCAGAAGCCTTTGGGTTCAATCCTCGGTGCAAAAAAAAAAAAGAGGCTCCAAGAGGGTAGTGACCCACCCAAAGGTCAGAGTGTGGACTCCAATTTCTGATTCCTGAGGGCTCCATCCATCAGAGACCTGTGAGCAAAGATTTACCACAGATGTTTGTAATAAGATCCTAATTGAGAAAGAGGGCATGCTTAGGCTTCCAGAAGGTGCCCCTTGTCAGGTTTTGCTCTGAGTCCTGATTTTGTATCTTCTTCCCTGTATAACCTCAGACTATTCTAGCCTCTTTCTGGGTCTGTCTTCCCATTTGAGAAAGAGGTGCCTGGGACCGTAGAGTCTCTGAAGCCCTACCAGCTCTATTCATGGAGGGACAAATAACTGTAAACCAAGGAAGCACATGATCAGAGTCAGACAAAACATGTATGACCTTGGGCAAGCCACTTAACCCTTAAAGCCTTAGATCCTTCATCAGTAAAGTGGAACCATGTTACCTCCAAAGAAGGTTGAGAGAGTTAAATGAGATAATTATGTAGATACAGGAGCCAACAGAAAGTGGCGCAGGGGACAACCCATAGGACAAACACAAGATGGAACTTTTTTTTTTTTTTTTTGGTCCCAAGGATTGAGGCCAGGGGCGCTTAAATATTGAACCACATCCCTAGTTTTTTTTATTTTTTATTTTGAGACAGGGTCTTGCTGAGTTGCTTAGGGTCTTGCTGAGTTGCTGAGGCTGGCTTTGAACTTCTGATCCTCCTGCCTCAACTTTCCAAGCTGCTGGGATTACAAGCATGAGAGCCACCATGCCCAGCTCAAGATAGAACTTTTTAGAAAACTGATTTTGCTTGATGAAAAGGGCACAAAATAGTTACAAAGTTGGATTGAATACGTAGAATGCATTTGTGTGCATTTTAGGGAATATTTCAAAGAAATTTTGTGCTTGGGGTTGCCAACTTTGGGTTAAGGTCAGAGGCCCCACCATTACATTGGAAACCAGGAGGGTAGATCATAGGGACTGCTTGGGGAGAGAGGTTTAAGAAGAAATTGTCAAGTTGGGGTTGTGGTTCAGTGGTAAAGTGCTTGGCTGGTACCTGTGAGGCACTGGTTGTGATCTTCAGCACCACATATACATAAATAAAGTAAAGGTATTGTGTCCATCTACAGCTAAAAATATTAAAAGAAGAAGAAGAAGAAGAAGGAATCGTCAAATACAAGTTCACAGTGAAATCTGACTTGGGTCTAGAGAATTGTTAGCCGTTGGTGGCTTTGAGGAGACCAATGTCTGTGAAGGGAAGGCAGTACCACAAAAATAAATAAGAGGTAATATAAGCTTCAAAGGTGAAATCAGATGCTGCTTGAAGGCCGCTAAATGGTCCCCTGAGGTGAAGCCCAGCTAATTAAGCAGAGATGCTCCTTAACACAGTTTTAAATCAGGCACCTATAACTCCCTTACCCCAAACCCTCCAGTTCACTTTTATCCTTGTAACATATGCAGGTCAGCAATTAAGAAAGAGTTTCCATAGGAAACGAAAAGGTCATGAGGCCAATGGCCCCAGGGAGGGAGCTATGTCCGTGTCCCCCACCACTATATGGCTAAATTCTTGGAAAGACTCTTCCCTCACTTTCTGTATGGCCTTCACCTCTCTTAATTGTACAGTATCATGGATGCCACTGGCCACTCGTTAATTTTTGAAACCATATGCATCCTTCTGTAATAATGCTGTCCCTGGTTCTTTGATCTCAATTGCTCCTGTCGCAGTGCCTTTGCAGGTTCCTCTCCTCCACCAGCAGGGACAGTCTATCATGGCTCAGCCCTGGGCTCTCTTTCTTCTCACCCCATGCTCACTTCCTAAGTTAGCTCATCAATACATGGCTTCCAGCTCTACTGCTATCTATACCCTGAGGAACCCCAGGTCTCCATTGCCCATTCTCATCTCTGAGCTCCAAACCACCTGCCAGCTGCCTATTGAATGTCTCAAAGCACCTCAGACTCCACTTGGAGGTCCATTCATGGGTTCCCTACCTCCCTGGTAGCACAACAGTCAGTCCAAGTAGGCAAGCCTGGAAGCTAGGAGCCACCCTTGACCCCTTCCACTCCAATCCCCATAGCCCGGCCAGACAGTCTTGTCAGTCTGGCCTTGTGCGTATATCTTGTCCGTGTGCTTCTTTCCATCTCCTCAGCTACCACCCCTCAGCTTCCACCCACCATGGTCACCCTTATATCACCTCTTGTCTGAACACTGCAATGGCCTGCTCACTGATCTCTGTTTTTCTATTTCTTCCACTCTGATCTTCTACATGGTAGCCAGTGATCTTTTCAACACACATTACCCAGCTCCCATCCAGCTTCATCTTGCACTGCTTTCTCCTCATTGCCCACATCACCACCTCAGTTCTTAGAAAGTGCCACACTCCCTCCTACCTCAGGGCCCTTGCATTAGCTGATCTTTCTGTTAGGGACTTTCTTCCCCTGCCTTCCCCACCCTTAGCCTAGTTAATTTTTCCTCAACTTATATCTCAGCTGGATCTTTTCTTCCTCTGTGGAGCCTCTCCATCTGCTCTCAAAGAGCCATCTACCATGAGCATTTTCTATAAAGTGCTTATATCAGTTCAAAATCATCTGCACGCATGCATGGCAACTTGATTAGTGTCTGACTCCTGAGATGGACCAGGAGAGCCTTGAGAGCTGGTGGAACTGTGTTGGTTTAATTCAGTGTCCAACTCAGTGCCAGGCTATAGAGGGCCCTGGACAATATTGGATAGATTGAGCAAAAGGAAATGAGGCCTCTGTCCACACTAGATTTAGACGCATAGAACACCAGATCTACCCCCACCACCCCCTACCAACTTCAAATGAGAGCTACTCTTGTCAACTGCTGTTCTTTAAAATTACCTGGATGCGCCACACCTGGGTGTGTATGATTCCAACTGTGTGACATTCTGGAAATGACACATCTATGGAGACAGTAAACTGATCCATGGTTTGGGGGTGGGGGAGCAGCATTATAATGTCAATATGACATTATAATGGTGGGTGCATGTCCTTATACATTTGTCAAAACCCTTAGAAGTTATAACACCATAGAAGTTATAACACCAACTGTGATCCTAATGTGAACTTTGGACTTTCACAGCAATAACATATCAAAATTGGTTAATCAACCAATACAAGATGGTAATAACAGGAGAAACTGGAAGGCAGGAAGTGGAGGTAGGGACTGTCTGTACTTTCTGCTCAATTTTTCTAGAAATCTGAAACTACTTGGAAAAAAACCTGAAATCTATTCATTAAAAAAAACACCTGACATCCAGGCATGGTGGTGCATGCCTGTAATCCCAGCAGCTTAGGAGGCCCAGGCAGGAGGATCACAAGTTCAAAGCCAGCTTTAGCAACTTAGCAAGAGCCTGTCTCAAAATAAAAAATTAAAAAAAAAAAAAAAACACAAAAATGGCTAGGGATGTGGCTCAGTAGTTAACTGCCCCTGGATTCAATCCCTGGTACCAAAATCTAAAAATTAAAAAAAGCTGATACCCAGACTACAGCCAGACCTTTGGATCAGTCTCTGAGAGGGAGGCCCATGCCTCAGGACTTTTTAAACCCTTCCCAGGAGATTGTAACACATTGCTAGGCTAAAATCTTATGCTCAGACTGAATGGGAATGGAGGGGAGCAGGCAGACCACAGGGGGAGCACTTTTTCAGTGTTGGGGTGGGGTTCCCAGGGAAATGGGTAGATATGGCCTTAAAGGAAAAGGGAGCACCTGAGAGCAATGTCCTCTCCCTATGAAAGCTTCAGTGACTTAGGCATGGACCCTCCTGGACTCTGGAAGACCAAGAGAGGAATCATTTAGCAGATGCCCACAGTGTTGCAGTTCCTTATTGCTTTAAGCTCTGATTCCATTCCTTCAGTGTAGACTTGCGCAAAAGCCGTGAGTGTTTGTGGGGGTGGGGGGAACCAAAGGGCTGGGGGTCAGAGTGCAGAGGGCATCTACCAACCACATGGACCATGGCTAGTACAAATAGTTACCAGTCCTGCCGGGGATGGGACAGAGAGCCCATGCAGAGGGCATCTGAGAGAGGACAGTATGCTGGAGTACAGGGAAGCTGCCTTCCGAAAGCAAAAGGGACAGAAATGTAGTTCTTACTAAGATCTGAGCATTGTAGGTTGAGGAGCAGAATACAGAGGACCAGAAAAAAACAGAGGTAAACAGGCAGAGAAAGGGCTTAGTGGGGATCAAGTACAAAGAACAGGATTTCCCAAAAGAAGGCCCTGTTCCGGCAGTTCTGCTGAGATGCCCTTCCAGT